TCTGCAGCTCAGTGAGAGAGTGTAACTCACTCTAGGAACGTGTGATCTACCACTGAGTGAACTGCTCCGTTAGGCTGTCTGCAGTACGTTACATCTACATCACAGGACAAGGTGGTGAGAATCAATCACTAGGCTAGTTTAGGAAACAGCTGCTTAAACCACCATCAGAATAATCAATCATAAAATAGCTCAGACAGAATTTCAATACAGAATTTTCATTTGGTATATTGTACGTTACACTTTTTTTATATACAGCAGGTTATTAGTCATCCATTTTATACACATCAGTGTACACATGTCAATCCCAATCTCCCAGTTCATCCCACCACCACCACCACCCCCCACCACTTTCCCCCCTTGGTGTCCATACGTTTGTTCCCTACATCTGTGTCTCTATTTCTGCCTTGCAAACCGGTCCATCTGTACCATTTTTCTAGATTCCACATATATGCATTAATATACGACATTTTTCTCTTTCTGACTTACTTCACTCTGAATGACAGTCTCTAAGTCCATCCACATCTCTACAAATGACCCAGTCTTGTTCCTTTTTATGGCTGAGTAATATTCCATCGTATATATATGTACCATGTCTTCTTTATCCATTGATCTGTTGATGGGCATTTAGGTTGCTTTCATGACCTGGCTATAGTAAATAGTGCTGCAATGAACATTGTAGTACGTGTCTCTTTTTGAATTAGGGTTTTCTCCAGGTATATGCCCAGAAGTGGGATTGCTGGGTCATATGGTAGTTCTATTTTTAGTTTTTTAAGGAACCTCCATACTGTTCTCCATAGTGGCTGTATCAATTTACATTCCCACCAACAGTGCAAGAGGGTTCCCTTTTCTCCACACCCTCTCCAGCATTGATTGTAGATTTTTTTGATGATGGCCATTCTGACCGGTGTGAGGTGATACCTCACTGTAGTTTTGATTTGCATTTTTCTAATAATTAGTGATGTTGAGCCTCTTGTCCATCTGTATATCTTCTTTGGAGAAATGTCTATTTAGGTCCTCTGCCCATTTTTTGATTGGGTTGTTTGTTTTTTTTAAGATTGAGTTGCATGAGCTGTTTATATATTTTGGAGATTAATCCTTTGTCCGTTGATTTGTTTGCAAATATTAAACATTCTAATTAAGCAAAATTATTGACTTGTCTACTAGTATATTCTGCTTCAGAATAAATACATTGTATTTGGTAAAATTGGCATGAATTGTAATAACGTTCTTCGTTTTCAGATATCCCCTGTTGGAGACAATTCTTTGACCACAAGTTTTCTCCAACTATAAATCCATTTTTTTGCCTTTATCTATTGAAAGGTGGTGTTGGTCACCTTTCTTTAACTGATTTTTTTTCTCATTTTAAATTCTCAGCCAAGAAGATTGTTCTCAAGTTTTACTTCGTCATTTGTGGGTTGTTTTTAAAAATAATCTGTAGAGTAGATAGGTTTTTTTTTTTTCCCCAGCTATATCCTCCTTCCCCATCTGCTGACCCAAAACAAGTATTTCTGTAAGCACGTTCACGAGACACCAATCCCATAAGGTTTTACACAAAAACTGGCCCCACTGCCGACCCTGCCTAGAAGGGGTTTGTAAAGCACACCAGCATCTTAAAGATCCCAGGCCTACAGAACCTTTGACGTGCCGATGTGTGTTGTTTCCCAAACTCACTTGAGCATGGAGTCCTTCTTCCTCAATACCTCTCAACCTTAGGACACGTGACGTGACCCTTCTGTGCTCCGTACCTGGTCGTCGTGTTTGGGTGCAGAAGCTGTCTTCGTGTCACGTGAGGATGCAGGCTTCTGCTTTCCTGTGGGCGGAGGGCCTGCAGCAGGATCCATGGCGTGTTGACTCTTCAGAACCAGGGTTTGCACTCTGCATCCTTGTTTCCTATTGACCTTGATCAATAAATCCGTCTGTCTGTGGGTGTGTTTATAGCTACTGACGCTGAAGGGACTGATGATGACAGAGGCCAGGCTGCCCGCACTGGGTGGCGGTGTGCGGCCTGGAGCCCAGAAATGGTCACGAGTCCCAGGCCTCAAAAGCATCCTAGAACTTGGATCAGCATCAGATTCCAGCCTGAGGCCACGTGGCCCAACGACCTGGGCTTCACTGCCCTTGTTTGTATCTTTTTTTTTTTTTTGCGGTACGCGGGCCTCTCACTGTTGTGGCCTCTCCCGTTGCGGGGCACAGGCTCCGGACGCGCAGGCTCAGCGGCCATGGCTCACGGGCCCAGCCGCTCCGCGGCATGTGGGATCCTCCCGGACCGGGGCACGAACCCGTGTCCCCTGCATCGGCAGGCGGACTCTCAACCACTGCGCCACCAGGGAAGCCCGCCCTTGTTTGTATCTTATTGCTACTGTATGAAAGGTGTTTCTCAAGGTCTGTGATACGTGAAAATGCGGATGCCACGAGAGGACGGAAGGAAAGGTGACCAGCCCGGCCCTGGTCGGGGCCTCACGGCGCCTGGATCTGCGGAGGGTGCGTGGGCAGGACGCAGATGGGGGTCTCCGCGCGGGGCCCGCTGGCCCCCTTTCCAGAGCTTCACAAAGTTTGTGTACAGACTTGGGCAGCAGACTCGGCCTAGAAATATGCACTTCTTAACGTAATGGCGCCATCTGCCATTTTGTTTTGACTTGAAATCTCCAATTTGAAGCCATTTACGTTACTGAATAATGGTAGCAACCCCAGGAGCCTCGTCTTCCGGTCAGTTGAGGTCTGCTAAAGAGCAGTTAACCGCAGTTCAGACCTGTTACATCATACGAGCACTGGCTAAAGGTCTGTTTCTGAGGATGTGGGGTGGGCAGCCACTCTGCTTCCTTTCTTGCTAGGGCCTGGCAGTCAGGACCCTGATGACAAGCCCCACCACCAGCATGCCCGTCGCTGCCCCCAGAGCAGCCCCTCGGCGGATGGCCAGCTGTTTGGCCGACAGTCTGCCAGGGGGAGCTGGCAGGGGTTGGGCTGCTTCTGGAGTCCCGAAGAGGTCCAGATGGGCCTCGGGCCTTGAGTACATTGTCAGGGTCACGCCAGGGTAGCTGCCCGTAGCCACTGCAGAGGCAAACAGGGGCCAGCTTAGCATGGGGGTGGGGTGGGGGGTGGCTTGGAGGTGCACGATCAACGCCTGTCCCTCACAGCAGGAGACGCCTGCCTTTTCTCTACGGCACGACCAGAGAAGAGAACTACGTGGGATGTGCAGGAAAGGCTGTCGCCAAGGTGAGATGAGATCAGACGCGCGTGCCTGTCTGAGCCTGTGTGATGCCTAACCTTCACCAGTGACCTCAGGGCACGTATGAAACGCTTAGTCGAGCTGCCTTTGCACGTTCCCTCGTGACAAGTGAAACCCATAGAGTCTGCAGCTGGTTCCCCACCGCAAGACGACGCACAGGCACTGGGATAACCGGGGCTTTGGGCCGTGATAACCAGCGCCCGCCCCAGGGCAGCAGAGCGGCCGCCTGGTGGGGTTCGGGGGGTCGGCAGGAAGCGCCCGCACACTGCTGAGTCGAGCCAGGCTGACCTGCCCAACCCACGCCTGCAGGCCTCCCACCTGGGCTGGAGGTGAGTGCTGACAACATGCTCTAGGGTCCAACGGCCCGTGCTCTGACCTCATCCCCTGCCTTTGCATTTGCAGGATGACGGGGAAGAGACCTAAGCGCTCAACCCACTCCCTCATCTGAACGGAACCGAGGCTCACTGCCCCCCAGGCTGGGGAGGGACGGGGCCTGCTTCCCGGGGCCTCTTAGATAGCGGACGTTAGTGTCACCCTCCTGGCGTTAGGACGGAGGTCACTGTCACGCTGAGGGAGAAAGGCAGCTGGGGCTCGCGCGGTTCCCAGTCACCCGCACACGCGGGGCAGTGTTACCTGAAGACACGACCGCTCTCTCGGGCCCGGGTCTGAGGCTGGGGGCTGTGCTCTCAGCGGCCTGGGGCGGCAGCTCCACACGTTTCTGCACCTGAAGGAGACGGAGTTGTCCGGTCGGCCTGCGGTCCACCCCGGCCTCAGCTGTGCCCTGCAGGCCGAGCAGGACGTGGTCACACACAGGCACACGTCGGAGGCTCCAGACCACTGCAATAAAGCGAATGTCACAACAGAGCCACTCACAGGGGTCTTCTGGTTTCCCGGTGCATATAAAAGTGATGTTTGCACGATACTGGAGTCTGTTAAGCACACAATCCCATCATGTCTAAAAAAGCCTCGTCCCTGCCGCAGTTAAAAAGTGCCTCTTTGGGCTTCCCTGGTGGCGCAGTGGTTGGGAGTCCGCCTGCCGATGCAGGGGACGCGGGTTCGTGCCCCGGTCCGGGAAGGTCCCACATGCTGCGGAGCGGCTGGGCCCGTGAGCCATGGCCGCTGAGCCTACGCATCCGGAGCCTGTGCTCCGCAACGGGAGAGGCCACAACAGTGAGAGGCCCATGTACCGCAAAAAAAAAAAAAAAAAGTGCCTCTTTGCTAAAAAATGCTAACCATCACCTGAGCCTTCAGCAGGTCATCAGCTTTTTGCAATAATGACATCAGAGATCAGTGATCACCCCTCCCCATAAAGGAGATAATAATGAGAAGGTCTGACATATGATGAGAATTAGCAAAACGTGAGACACATGAAGTGAGAAACGCTGCGGGGAAAATGGCGCCGATAGACGGGCTCAATGCGGGCTCGCTCCAGACCTTCAACTTGCAGAAACCACAGCATCTACAAAGCGCAGTGCAGCGAGGTCTGCCCGTGTTCACCCTTCTGCGGGACTTCACAGGGGTGGTGTTTCAGGGCTGTGTTAATCCGTTCTCTCAGACGTCAGGAGGCCTGGATCCACCCGCGAAGGCAAACCCCCACTCTGCGGGGGTTCGGTCCGAGAGCACCCCCTCCACGCTCAGCCTGCAGCCTAAGCTGTGGCTTTCATGCCTCTGAGGTTTCAGTTCTTCCGAGAGGACGGTGACAGGGTGCTGCCATCGCCTCTTCCAAGGTCCCAGCACCCTCGGGGCTCACCCACGTTCAGACGAGTTTGAGCCGTTGGCTTTAGTCTGGCCTTTGGCAGTCGGGCTGCTGAGGTTTCCTTTGTGGGTCGGGGGGGGTACCCGGAAGGGGGGCCGCTGACACCGCACCGTCTCCATGACGGGAGACGTTGAGGCGCGCCCCTGGCGTTTTGGGGGGACGGCACTCACCTCCTCCGCAGCCCGCTTCCAGTCCATGCAGGCGGTGTAGGTGACGAAGGCCGCGGCGGCCAGGCAGACACAGGCCAGCATGCCCAGCCAGAGGCCTGCAGGACACGGGACGGTGGGAGCGTCTGATGACGCCCGGGGCGCCCCGCCTCCCCCCACTCCACGTACCCGTGATCCCCAGCCCGACCACGAAGGTCAGCACGACGCCCAGCGGGAGGCCGATGACGTAGTACGTGACGGCGTTCACGACGGCCCCGAAGGCCTGCCTGCCGGTCCCTCTCAGGACCCCACCGTAGAGACACTGCGGGGAGGCAGAGGGGGCCGGGGTTGGTGACGCTGAGGCTGACGGGGGTCTCAGCGGCGGGGGCTTCCGCAGGAATCTGCGGGGCACGGCCTCGTTTAAGTCCATAGCACGGGACCAGGATGGGCCCTTGTCCCCCTTCCTTCCCAGCGGGGACCTGCGCAGGGTCACACAGAAGCCGCTGCATTTCGGACACAACTCCAGAGCCCCGGTCGACACCTAGACTGCCTCCCTGGAGAGGGAAGGTGAAGTTGGTGACGGACTACCCACCGGCTTGGGAAACTGAACTCGCTTCATACGGACTGTGTGGAGGTCTCCTGTTGCACCAAGTTACCACAAACGGTGGCTTAAAACAAAACACGCGGATTATTTTACGGCTCCTGAGAGCAGAAGGCCGAAATGGTCCCATTATGCTGAAGGTGGGGCTGGTTCCTTCTCGAGGCCCCGGGCAGAATCTGCTTCACTGCCTTTTCCAGCTTCTAGAGGCGCCTGCATTCCTGCCCGCGGGCCCCAGACAGCAAAGGCGTCGCTCTGACCTCTGCTTCCCCCTCTCTCACTTCTAACGACCTCTGAAAACACTGGGCCACCTGGATAATCCAGGACAGTCTCCCCACCTCAAGACCCTCCGCTTAATCACATCTGCAAAGAACCCTTTCGCCACGTGACGCCCACAGGTCCGGGGGGTCACAATGTGGGTGTCTTTGGGGCATTATCCTGCCTTCCTGCCGGCAGGGGAAGGTGTCTTGTTCCGTACGGAAGAGGCAGCCTTTCCCGCTGCTGCCCCCGTGATGACGCTCTCGGGAGACGTGTCTACAGAAAGCACCACCTCTTCACTTGTCTCATCCTCCCAGCTCGATCCCAGACCTAATGAGCTAAGGAACTACAGGCTCCGCGCATGCTCCGTCAGCACTATTGATCAACAGATGTTCGCTTACTTTTGTTCAGCTGAGGGATGGGGAGTATTGTGTGGTCTGCTTTCCCACATGTGAGCGGAGGTAAATGCGCTGGGCGTAGGAGATGTGTGCCTCTTCAACTTTAAAATATGTCACACATATTTCTCGTTAATGTATACCATGACATAAAAGATGATCCTTTCTGGTTAAAAAAAGACTTCTGCCAAATTACGACTGATGTGCTCTGGACCAGTATTTCTCCATCTGGGGGGTGGTTCTGCCCTCCAGGGGACGTGTGGCAATGTCTGGAGCTGGTTTTGGTTGTCACCACTCGGGGTGGGGGGGGTGCACTGGCATCTAGCGGGCTGAGGACAGGGTTGCTGCTAAACATCCTATGGTGCCCAGGACGGCCCCCTACAACAAAGGATTACCCGTCCCAGAATGTCAGTAGTGCCAAGGCTGAGAAGCCCTTTAGAGCACTGTGAATTACAGAGACAGTTTCAGTGGGCCCGCTAGCCTGAGGCTGTGGGCCTGTCAGGGAGAAGCGGTGGACCGGTGGACAAGTGAGAGCTCCAATGAGACGAAACAGCTGGGGCAGGGGGTGCTTGGTAAGCTCTCCGTCCCAAGTGGACCAGCAGCTGAGCATGCGTGTAGCAGAGGCTGTAGCAGGCCCAAGCCTCCCACACATCCTGGACGGTGGAGCCTGTGCACATGCACAGAAGAGACACAGGAGGACCCAGAAGAAAGTAAAAGCTGAGGCAGACTCGGAAACAGCCTGAACTGTGCGTGGGCCCCGGCCCATACTCAGCTCCTTCAGCGGAGAACGGAAGCCCTACCAGCGGTCCGAGGAGCCTGAGCGTCCCCTCCAAACAGTAACTGGCTGAACACTGAGCTAGGCAGACATAGGGGTGACCCCTAGGAAGCTAAGCTTAAAAACAAGAAAAACAAAATCCAAAACTGAGCAGAGACAGCAGCTGCAGTTTGTGGAGGAGACAGGATCACAGGCAAGACTAAACAAAACAGCAGGCCTTGGGGAAAGGCTGCTCTCTGGGATGGACCTATGGTGCATCACCAAGCAGGCCTCAGTACATCTAGATCCCTGGAGGTCTAGTGGTTATGACTTGGCACTCGCAATATGTTTCGAAAGACTGGATTGATACAAAAGATGTTCTTTGACCACAAGAGAATTAAATTAGAGATGTCTACCGGAAAGAATTTTGGAAATACCCCCAAATATTTGGAAATAAAACAACACACTTCTCAACCCACGGGGCAAAAAATAAATCACAAGAGAAATTTTAGAATATTTTGAATGAAAAAAATACAATATATCAAAATTTATGAGATGCAGTTAAAGCAATACTTAGAGGGAAGTGTATAGCTTTAAAATGCCCATATTAGAAAAGAAAGGTCTCAAATCAGTAGCCTAATATTCCGCCCTAGGAAACCAGTAAAGAAAAGCAAACTATGCCTGGATAAAGCAGAAGGATGAACATCATAAGAATTAAAGTGGAATTCATTGTAACAGTCAACAGAAAACAGCAGAGAAAAATCCATGAAACCAAAATTCTAGTTCTTTGATAGGATCCACAAAACTGACGAACACTTACTAAGGATGTGACCTTGGTAAAATAAGACCAAGAAAACAGGAAAGTGAAGACACAAATTACCAAAATTAGGAATGAAAGGAGAGACATTACTACTTTCCCTAAAGGAAAGGACTGTAAGGGAATATTATGAGCAACTTCATGCCAAAGATTTAGACAATTTACTTGAAGTGAATAAATTCCTAGAAAGACACACATTATTAAAAGAAACTCAACAAGAAACAGAAACTGAGGGACTTCGCTGGTGGCGCAGTGGTTAAGAATCCACCTGCCGATGCAGGGGACACGGGTTCAAGCCCTGGTCCGGGAAGATCCCATATGCCGCGGAGCAACTAAGCCCGTGCGCCACAACTACTGAGCCCACACTCTAGAGCCCATAAGCTGCAACTACTGAGCCCACGTGCCACAACTACTGAAGCCCGCGTGCCTAGAGCCCGTGCTCTGCAACAAGAGAAGCCACTGCAATGAGAAGGCTGAGCACCGCAACGAAGACTAGCCCCCGCTCGCCACAACTAGAGAAAGCCTGCGCACAGCAACAAAGACCCAACGCAGCCAAAAATAAATTAATAAAATAAATAAATTTTTAAAAAAAGAAATAGAAAGTGAATAGATCTATAACAAGTAAATAAATTAAATTAGTTAAAAACCTTCTGACAAAAGCCAGGCAAAAGCCCAGATGGCTTCACTGGTGAATTCTATCACATGTTTAAAGAAGAAATAATGCCAATCCTTCACAAACTCAAAATGTATAGGTATGATGAGAGAACACTTTCAAAATCATTCCAGGAGGCCAATGATATGCTGATACCAAAGCCAGATCAAGATATCACAAAGGAAAAGATAAAAATCACAGACCAATATCTCTCATGAATGTAGACGCAAAATCTTTAACAAAATACTAGGAAACCAAATTCAGTGATGTATATTAGAAAAGACACACGCCATGATCAGGAGGGTTTTATCCCAGGAATGCAAGGTAAAACATCTGAAAATCAATTAATGTAATTACACCCTAGTAATAAAGGACAAAACCATGTGATTATCTCAGTAGATACAGAAAAAGCATTCTACAAAATCCAGCACGCATTCATGAGAAAATGTTTCAAACTAGGAGAAGGGCTCTTCCTCAGCCTCAATAAGGGGCATGTATAAAAATTTTACAGATAACATATTTAATGCTGAAAGGCTGAATACTTTCCCTTTAACATCGAGAACAAGGCACAGGTGTATGCTCTTGCCACTTCCACTCAACATCGTACTGGAGGTTTAGCCAGACGGAAAGGGAGAAGTAAAACTCCTTATTCACAGATGACATGATCCTATATGGAGAAAACCTTAAGGACTCCACACACCAAAAACTACTAGAATGAGTTTAACAAGGTCACAGGATAAAAGATCAATAAACAAAGATCAATTCTCTTTCTATAAACTAGCAATGAACAACCTAAAAATGAAATTAAGAGTTCCATTCAGAATACCATCAAAAAGAACAAAATATTTGGGGATAAATTTAACAAAAGTAGTGCAAGGTTTTGACCACTGAAGACTACAGCACATTGCTGAGGTAAATTAAAGAAAATCTAACTAGTCGGAGAGACATTCCATGTCCATTTTAACAATACTGTTAAGATGACAATTCTCCCAAAGTTGCTCTGCAGAGTCAATACAATTCCTTTCAAAATCCCAGCAGGCTTTTTAGTAGAAATTAACACGCTGGTTCTAACATACATATGGAAATGCAAAGGATCTAGAAGAACAAAGGCAATTAAAAAGACAGAACAAGGTTGGAAGATTTATACTAACTTATTTCAAAGCTCACTATAAAGCTACAGTAATTAAGACAGTGTAGTATTGGCACAGGATGGGCATATAAATTAATGAAACCGAATTATGAATCTATAAATAAATCACTACATTTACAACCAATTGATTTTTGACCAAAGTGCCAAGATAATTCACTGGGGAGGGAATAGCCTTTCACACACCAAGAATGGTGTTGGGACTCTTGAATATCCACACACAAAAAAATAAACTTAGACCCTTACCTCGTACCAAACACAAAAATGGGCTCAAAATGAATCATAAACGTAAGTGTAGGACCTAAAACTATAAAATGTCTAGAAGAATTCATAGGAGAAAATCTTTGTGACCTTGGGTTAGGCAAAGATTTCTTATATATGACAGCAAAAGCGTGAGCCATAATAGAAAAGAAAATGAGAAACTGGACTACATTAAAAGTGCAAACTTTTGCAGCTCAAAAGATAAGAAAATGAGGGGGCTTCCCTGGTGGCACAGTGGTTAAGAATCTGCCTGCCAGGCCTCCCTGGTGGCGCAGTGGTTGAGAGTCCGCCTGCCGATGCAGGGGACACGGGTTCAAGCCCTGGTCCGGGAAGACCCCACATGCCACGGAGCCACTAAGCCCGTGTGCCACAACTACTGAGACCACGCACCATAACTACTGAAGCCTGTGCACCTAGATCCCGTGCTCCACAACAAGAGAAGCCACTGCAATGAGAAGCCCGCACACCACAACAAAGAGTAGCCCCCGCTCGCCGCAACTAGAGAAAGCCCGCACACAGCAACGAAGACCCAATGCAGCCAAAAATAAAAATAGTTATTTTTTTTAAATAAATAAATAAGAAAATTAAAGTCAAGCCACAGACTGGGCTTGCAAATCATATACCTGATAAAGGACTTATGTGTAGAACATACAAAGAATTATTGGGGGAGGGATGTGTGGGAGGGATGGACTGGGAGTTTGAGGTTGGTAGATGCAAACTATTATATATAGGATGGATAAACAACAAGGTCCTACTGTATAGCACAGGGACCTATGTTCAATATCCTGAGATAAACCATAATGGAAAAGAATACATTTTACAATGTATATATGTATAACCGAATCACTTTGCTGTACACCTGAAACTAACAGAACATTGTAAATCGACTATACTCCAATAAAAATAGAAATTAAAAACAACCTAAACAAAAGCTCTTAAAACACAACAACGAGAAAACAAGCCAATCTTAAAATGGGCTCTGAACAGACCCCTCACCAAAGAAGACACACTGATGGCAAATAAGCGTATGAGAAGATGCTCCACATTACGCGTCAGTCGCAAGTTACAAGTTACAACAGCAATGAGACACCGCTACACACAAGAACGACTAGGATCAAAACACTGACAACACCAAATTCCGGCGAGGATGCAGAGCAACAGGAATTCTCACCGATCGCTGATGGGAGTGCAAAATGGTGCAGCCACTTTGGAAGGCAGTAGGGCAATTTCTTACAGAGCTAAACGTAATAGTACCATGCTATCCAACCATCATGCAGCCAGGGATTTGCAGAAAGAGTTGAAAACTATGTCCACACAAAAACCTGCACAATAATGTTCACAGCTTTATTCATAATTCGCCAAACTTGGAAGCAACCACCATGTCCTTTAATGTGGTCCGTCCAGACAGTGAAGCATCAGTGCTAAAAAGAAACAAGCTGTCAGGCCACGAAAAGACCCAGTGGAGGCCCCTTACGTGCACATGACTAAATGAAAGAAGCCAACCTGAAAAGGCTACGTGCTGTTTAACTCCAACTATAAGACACTGGAGAAGGCAAAACTACAGAGACAATAAAAAGATCAGAGATGGCCAGCGGGTGAGGGAGGGGGGGGACAGCGGGAGAAGGGGAGGAATGAACAGGGGGAGCAGAGAGGATTTTTATGGCAGTGAAATTATGCATATGATTCCTTTTTTTTTTGGCCCTACCTGACCAGGGATTGAACCCGGGCCACGGCAACGGAAGTGCCGAATCCTAACCACTAGGCCACCAGGGACCTCCCATGATTCTTTTTTTTTAATTGAGGTGTAGTTGATTTACAATGTTGTGTTAGTCTCTGCTGTACAGCAAAGTGACTCAGATATAGATATATATATATATATATATTCTTTTCCACTATGGTTTATTACAGGATGTTGAATACAGTTCCCTGTGCTATACAGTAGGACCTAGTTGTTTATCTATTTTATATATAGTAGTTTGTATCTCGTATGATTCTATAATGGTGGGTCCATGTCATTATACCTTTGTCAAAATCCATAGAATGTACAAGGCCAGCAATGAACCCTATGGAGAACGATGGACTTAATTAATTATAATGTATCAATATTCTTTCAACTAAACAAATGTCCTGCACTAAAACCGGATGTAAATAAAAGGGGAAAGTTATGGGAACTCGCTGTATTTTCTCAATTTTTCTGTAAACCCAAAACTGGTCTTAACAATAAAATCTGTTTTTAAAGTTTTAAGACAAACAATACCAAGAATTGGCAAGGGAGGGGGAGGAACTGGAATCCCCATATATTGCTGGTGGGAATGTAAAATGGTACAGCTGCTTTGGAAAACAGATTAATGGTTTCTTAGAAAGTTAAAAATAAACTTATGCTTCAACCTAACAACTCAAATCCTAGGACTCTACCAAGAGGAGCAAAAACATACGTCCACATGATGACTTGTATGTGAGTGTTCCCAGCAGCCTTAGTCACAACAGCCAACACTGAAAACAACCTAAACGTTCATCGCCTGATGAATGGGTAGGCAAAGCATGTTACAGCCACACAAGGGACCACCATTCGGCCACAAAAAAGAAATGAAGTCCTGAAAAATGCTACAACATGGACAAACCTCAAAAGCATTTCACTAAGTGAACGAAACCAGACACGAAAGACTGTATGATTATACTATATGATTCCATGTCTATGAAATATTCAGAAAAGGCAAGTTCACACAGACAGAAAGCAAGTCAGTGGATTGCCTAGGGCTGGCCATGGGAGCAGGGAGTGACTTCAAAACAGGCCCCATGGGGCTTCCCTGGTGGCACAGTGGTTGAGAGCCTGCCTGCTAATGCAGGGGAAACGGGTTCGAGCCCTGGCCTGGGAGGATCCCACATGCCACAGAGCAACTAGGCCCGTGAGCCACAACTACTGAGCCTGCGCGTCTGGAGCCTGTGCTCTGCAACAAGAGAGGCCACGATAGTGAGAGGCCCGTGCACCGTGATGAAGAGTGGCCCCCGCTTGCCACAACTGGAGAAAGCCCTCGCACAGAAACAAAGACCCAACACCGCAAAAATAAATTAATTAAAAAAAAAAACAGGCCCCAGGAATTTTGGGGGGGTGATGAAAATATTCTAAAACTGGATTGCAGTGCTGGCTGCACAAGTATAAATTTATTTTAAAGGATTGACTTATGTACTTAAAATGCATGAATTTATAGTATGTAATTAAAACTCAAGAAAGTTATAAAAAATATAAAATAAAGATTAGGTCCGTGGAACACATAAATTAAGAATGGTAGAGATCGGGTCTTCCCTGGTGACACAGTGGTTAGGAATCCGCCTGCCAGTACAGGGTACACGGGTTCAAGCCCTGGTCCGGGAAGATCCCACATGCCATGGAGCAACTAAGCCTGTGCGCCACAACTACCGAGCCTGCGCTCTAGGGCCTGCATGCCACAACTACTGAGCCCGCGTGCCACAACTACAGAGCCTACATGCCACAACTACTGAAGCCCGTGCACCTAGAGCCCATGCTCCACAACAAGAGGAGCCACCGCCATGAGAAGCCCACGCACTTTAACAAAGAGTAGCCCCTGCTCGCCGCAACTAGAGAAAGCCCGCACGCAACAACGAAGACCCAATGCAGCCAAAAATAAATAAATAAATTTAAAAAAAAAAAAAAGAATGATATAGATCTAGCCGGGGGGAAAGATGATAGATGCAGATACACAAGCTCTAAGGTCCCTTGCAATTGCTAACTGCACGTCTGCCTCGGGTTCCCTGGTGGGCAAACTGAACGGAGAGGTGCTGCCTTCAGAACATTTAGAAGCCAGAGCACCCCCTGACCTTACATTGCAGGAGGAATCTCTCAGCCGTGGCCTCACCTTGGAGCTAGAGAAAAAGTAATAATAGTGTCCTTAACACCAGCCCATGACAAAAGCAATAACAGAACCCATAAGCTAGTTTCTCTTCACGTTCTGCGGTAAAAGCTATGGATTTGACCAGCCCAGAGCAAGCGCCTGCTGAGGTCAGCAACGTGCGCCAGGTATCTGCCCGGCTAAGTTCAAAGGCCAGTCCTGGGACAAACAGGGAACTGGGCAGAGAGCACTGGGGCTTTTGGAGAAATCCTCCACGAATAGTTTCCCCCAAGGTTATTTATTTTCCGTAAGAGTTGATACTAATTCTCGTGCAGGTGTCCGCCCCAGTGCTAGCTAGAAGAGATGTGGGCTTTACGCTCGGGATGCCTTCCTGAAGGATTCACGGGACCCGAGATGTGACGTAGAAGACCCAGAATTTCAAAATTCTGCTTATCAAATGAGACTTCAGCGCTTGCTTTCTTTCTGCCACGCTTTTAAAAGTTCACATAGTTCAAACCTGCACTCAACGGGACCTGCCCTTTAGCGATCACAGGAGCAGGAAGTCAGGCCCGCTGTACTCTGGGCCGACCCACTCCTCCGAAGTGTCCCTTTGCTCTGGCAACTGGCGCAACTGCTCCTGGCCCCCGCTCCGGGGAACGAGGAAGGAACGGATTCGTGAGTTTACACTGGGGCCAGTGTTCAGGACTCTGCTCATCTGCGTGCGTCTCTGGCGTGTTGGAATTGCACAGCAGAAGGGGATTCATTATTTTGAGTGACAGAACCAACACGAGCGGACACTTCGGACGCTTCTCCGGTCAGCCCTCTCTGCGAATCGGCGAGCTAACGCTCACAGCCCTGACCACCTGACCAGCCTCGGGGAGGGTGCGTGAATGTGGGGGGGCGGGTCAGAGCAGGACTCACACAGACTGCCTCAAACAGGTGGAAGACGACGTAAAGCGGCAGGACCTTGCTGACCAAGGCGACCACTTCCCTGCGGGAGAACGGGAGCGGTAAGACACGAGCGCATCCTTGGAGTGCCCTTCGCGTCCCTTCTATTCTGCCCCTGCCCCCCGCCAACGTAACAGATGCTCCTGTCTCTGAGTTTCCCTGTGTCTGGGGGACACACGTCTTAACCCCCCGAGAAGCCCCCAAATTTCACCTTGCCCCCTGGTTGGTGCCCTGTCTACCGACAGGTGAGCGGTAGAGGGGGCGTCTCTGGGGACCAGGTGGGGAGCACCTGGCATCCCCAGAAGTGAGAGAACTGATTACCTACTCGTCATTGGTAAAGATGTGGCCCAGTTTACTCCTCAGGAGGCTCAACAGGGTGCCCACGACCAGCGAGGTGCCAACTGTAAGAGACCAAAGGCACGGCCCAGCTTCCACCCGTCCAGCCCCACCCCATGTTCACTTGGACTAAGACCCTCGTTTGTGGTCTGGCAAGGAGGGCACCACATGTGAAACGCCTTTCCTCCTGTGGTTCGCAAAGTGGGGTCCCTGCACCGGCTGCAGCAGCGTCGTTGGTAGCTGGTTAGAGGATGCATATTCTCAGACCATCACCTCCGACCTACGGAGTCAGAAACTCCGGCAGGTGGGGTTCTGTGTTTTCACACACGCACCCCTACCCCACCCCCAGGGCTGAAGCCTGAGAGCCACTGCTCTGCACGAGGAGCTGATCTGAGCCTGGCAGCTGCAGAAAGCAGAGGCAGGATGGACATAGACGGGGCCACTCTGAGGGCTGGGATGGGCAGGTCCCAAGCTCGTGGAAATGCTGGCAGGGCAGGGTCAAAGGGGGACCGGCTTTCCCAGAGTCGCACTAAGTGATGGAAACTGACAGCCCAGAACCCCAGCGGCAGGGAAGGAGCGGAAGGGGCACAGCAGGCTTGCTGCTGGTCAGAGGGGCTGCTCTAGGCCACGTGGCAGGTATGACAGGTTTGGAAGGTGAACTGTTGGCTCCCAAGCCCTCCCCCGCCTAGGTCCCGACCCCACCCACCTGTGCAGAGGGTGCCTGAGACGGCAGATCGCTTGGCTTGCACGGTGTCTGCGGCTCCCAGGGCCGTCCCCACTCGGAAACAGACTGCGATGCTGAGCCCCATGGGAATCTGGGATCAGAGAAAAGAAGGTGTGGTGGTTAGAGCCCCCCTCCTGCCCCGGGGGCCGAGAGGGAGGCACGATGTGTCCCGGGGGGCGGGGCCCGCGAGGCTGCTGGCGACAGGCCGAGACCTGGGAGGTGGGCTGGGCTACCCAGGGCCAAACCCACCGGGCCGGGCCGTCAGACATCACAGGCAACCGAAATCAACGCACTGCCGGAAACTCAGGAGTAAACGCATGTTAAAGAGGTGGATGTGGGGGCTTCCTTGGTGGTGCAGTGGTTGAGAGCCCGCCTGCCGATGCAGGGGACACGGGTTCGTGCCCCGATCCGGGAAGATCCCACATGCCGCGGAGCGGCTGGGCCCGTGAGCCACGGCCGCTGAGCCTGCGCATCCAGAGCCTGCGCATCCGGAGCCTGTGCTCCGCGACGGGAGAGGCCACAACAGTGAAAGGCCCGCGTACCACAAAAATAAATAAATAAAAATTAAAAAAAAAAAAAAAAAGAGGTGGATGTGGTCTTAACTATGTTAGAAAAGCTCCCCGTGAGAAGAAAAGATTCAGCGGAAGCCATCCGTAACAAGAATCACCTTATAAATTAGTTTAGTGCGTGATGATTTTTGATTAAAGCTAGGGTCACAGACTGCATGGCCCAAGAGGCCGGCAAATGCTACACGAGTGACACGGGACAATCCACGTGTCCGGGGGAGAGGAAGGAGCTGCGGGGTCCACGGTGGACGCGAGGAAATGCCCTCACGAGGGCCACTGTTCCCCAGCGCCCACCAGCTGGGGTGTGCAGGAACGTGGGCTCACTGCTAAGTGGCATGTCCCATTTTTCAAAAAAATGCCAATATCTAGATTGTGATGTGAAATCTCCCTATTTTAAATGGTGCCAATTAATTCAAAACAATGGCAACATCGTGAATTCAGCAGAGCAGCCGTGGGCCACATGTGCTGGCAGGGCCTGGGCCTGGTGGGTGCAGGAGGTCCAGAGGGTCCCTCGGGAGACAGAGACAGCCTTTGAGGGGACAGCCCCCCCTCCTCTGACACCCCCAGGCCGTCAGGGGGCCGGGCTGGGGGCAGGGCATGGCGAAGGCGTCCCCATCGAGCCTCACCATGTAGACGACAGTGGCCACCTCGTAGATGATGGCCTGCGCAGAGAGGTCGAGCACGCTGAGCCGGCCTGGGGGTGGCGGGGGACATGGTGAGTGCCCGGCCGGCCAGCCCACAGCCCTGGGCTGACAGCAAGCCCCTCGCTCGGGGGCCAAGGGGCCAGTGGTTTCCAAGGGCAGATGCAGCAAAGGACGCTCCCGCTTGGGCTCCAGCCCTCCAGGAGACCCCTGCCCAGGTGTTACAGGGTCAGGGTCTCTCCTCTGTGTATGAGGTGTGATGAAGAAGGGAAAAACTGGACCAGGGGCGGGAAAGCAGAGTTCAGTTCTCAGCCCTGCTGGGTGACTCCGGACCACCTAACTCTTGGGGTCCACGTTCTCATCTCTGATTGGGTCAGGGGTGGACTGGAAGGTCTCTAGGGGCCACCCCAGCCCTGGCTGTTTGGACCGAGTCCGCTGATGAGCACACAATGTGCCAGGCGACGCCCACAGCTGCTCACGCATCAGCGGGACCTCACTCCCTCGCTGACTGACCACGCCCGGGCGTCCACTCAGTGCCAGGCCTACGCCGGGCAGCGCCGGGAGCTCACGGCCCGGTGGGGAGACGGGCCGGGCTGGGAGACCGCCCATCCGGGAGAGGGGGTCCTGAGCTGGGGGGCGGCCCACGCGGCTCCCCACACCCTGCTGTCCACGTACCCATGAGGAAGCTCCCGATCTCGTAGGCCCACCACTCAATGCAAGTCATGAGCATGCTGGGCACGGCCAGGCGGAAGAAGGGGCCCCAGCCCTGCAGGCACTGGCTGGACCAGCCTAGGAGCAGAGGCCCGCCAGCTGAGCCGCGGTCCACCCTGCGGCCCCGCCCCCTGCCCCGCCCCCTGCCTTCGGCCCGGGCACCTGGGCGTCTTGTGGGGGGCTAGCCAGCGGCCCCAGCGCTGGTGGGGGCTGGGGGGGTTCGTGGGGGGAGGAGGATGCCTGGCCAGTGCCCCTGGCGCTGTCTCAGGGGCTAAGGGCTCAGAACATGAGGGCTGGGAACGGGTTCGGTCCAGGCTCCACCACGTAACACCTCTGGCCTTTGGGGCCAATGACAAACCCTCTCTGCACCAGCTTCCTCCACGTAAATAACCGGGGCTAACGAGCTGTCGTGAAGCTTCAGCAAACAACGTGGGCACCGCCGCTGCCGACCACCCGTGCTGCTCCTCCATCCCGAGACCGGGGAGCCGGCAGAGAGCTCCGTGGGCCTGTCCGCAGCAGGGCCCTGCCCCCTGGCACACTGGATGGGGAAGCCCGGGCCTCGGGGCGGGGGTTGGGGGGGCCGGGGAGGGGGCCCTGAGGGACGTGCGGGCAGGCCCGGGCCAGGCCTCCTGCAACGGGCTGCAGCTGGGACCCCGCCTGCCACCTGCCCGCTCCGCCCCCAGGAAGGGCGGCCCTCGCACCTGCCCACGTGTCCAGGTGCAGCTTCTTCTTCACGACGCAGAGCAGCAGGAAGACGGCCTGCGTGAACTGGGAGACCGTGTTGGCACAGGCCGAGCCCCTGGCAGAGCAGGGACGGCAGGGCTGGGGCCACGGCTGAGTCCGGGCCCGGGCGGGGAGGGCCACAGGCCTGGCTCTGCCGGCACCCCATCCCGGGATGGGCCCCATCCGGGGGAGACCCACTCTGGGCCCCTTCGGGCAGGCCGGGCAGGGGTGGGCAGTGGCTCCTCACCCCGTCTCCTTGGCAGCGGGTCCCCAGAACCCCAGGGATCAGCAGCCCCCAGTTCCCCACGACCCCCAGATGCTGGGCCCCCAGCCCCGGTGCTCACCTGACCCCCAGGCCCAGCACGGAAACCAGGATGTAGTTGGCCAGCCCGTTGACGCAGTTGCCCACGACGCCGCTGAGGACCTGGGGCCACATGATGCCCTGAAGTAGGTGAGGGTGAGACTGAGGGGGGTGGGCGGAGGCTGGGGACACGCAGCTCCTCCAGGGCCCCCGTGTGGCGATCAGGATGGGGCAAAGCGCAGAGGGGACCCCGGGCACCCCGCCCACTGGAACAGGGTGGGGGCTGGGGGCAGCTCCGGCCAGGGACCCCTACCTGATTTTGCAGATATTTGGCCAGCAGGCTGTAAAGAAAATTTGCCTGTATAAAATAAACACACACGCGAAGTAAGCAACAACTACCAAAACACCACCACACGGACACTAACGGACACTTCTTAGATGAGGTGGGGCAACTGCCTCACCACGGTACCTCTGGGACCCCAGAGATGGGCTGTGTGCTGACCTGCGCTCCAGCCCCCGGCCTGGGACCAGCAGGGAGGTGGCCTGAGAGCCACAGGGCTCCTGAGCCCAAACCCACAGGTCGGGACACCCTGGGCCTGGCTCGAGCCGCCAGAGACAAGGACCTGGAGGGGGCAGGCCTTGGACTGAGGGAGCGGGGGGGCACCCAGGAGTGTGGCAGCAGCAGCCTCAGCAGAGCAGGTGGGAGACCCCACGGGGGTGGTGGGCCTTTCCCCGTCTGCCGAGGACAGAGAGGGCCTGTGCGTCAGTGTGTGTGTCGGGGGCACTGCCCTGTCCTTTCCGCCCTCTGTCAAGGCCTGGCCCGGGGCCTGCACCCCCTGTGCACCCTCCCCTCAGCCCTCCGCCTCTCTTCAGCACCGCTCAGTCAGCAAGAGCAAGGAGCTGGGCTCAGACGCTGGCTCTGCCTCTTGTGAGCTGTGTGGCCTTGGGCAAGTTACTTAACCTCTCTGTGCCTCAGTTTCCTCACACACAATAACACGCGTGTGAATCCCTAATATTTATATATACATTCATATACAAAGTTAACATTGCAAAGTGCTTACAAAACAGTATTTGGCACATTTAAGTGCTCCAAGAATAAGGTAAGCATCATGTAAACGTTAAGAATCATTATGATTCTTATTTTATTGGTAGTTAAACTCTGCAGCACCATTGTACAGGAGGGAGTTTGTTTATTTGATAAAAAAGTTGCTGCCACAGCGATAACGTGATGTTTCCCTCTGACACAGCCCCAATGGCCCTGTTTGACAAGATACCTTCACTTGGTCTGAATAGCCAAAGGCTCGGAGGAGAAAAACCAGACTTTTCAGGTGGTTTCCATGATACAGAAGAAATGTGGAGCTGGCCAGGCCCCAAAGAGGTCATGGCACTGGCCTTCCAGACAGGAGGAGGGTGAGGCTGGGGCTCCCTGCCAGGCCTGGCATCCCCTGTGGGCACCCCGCACGCATTCACCCCGACCCGCCCCCTTCCCAGCCCCCTCCTTAAGAGCTCTATCCCCAGTGCTGGTGTGCAGAGGAGGATAGGGGGTGCCGGAGATGAGAAGATGGACTCCCCCGAAACAGCACTGCCACCTGGTACCGCGTGCACTGAACCACAGCAAATCAAACAGTGTAGCGATGGGTTGGGGGTGGACACACAGACCACTGGGCAGGTCTCGAATCTCAGAAACTGATCGGAGTGGATGGACTGCTTATTTAGTATTTAATAAATTAACAGAGAAAGGAGAGAATATTCAATGAGTCTTAGAAAAAGTTTGTTAGATTACGGTCTTAAATGTAACGAGAGAAACCATTGAAAGGGTTCAGAGGAAATATAGGCAAATGCTTCTACAATTTACAATGGGTTCATTGTTTTTAAGCCCAAAGACAGACGTCATAAAGGATGAGATTTATGGGACTGTTACTATGCATTAAAAACTCTAAGTCAAAAGTATCGGGGCTTCCCTGGTGGCGCAGTGGTTGAGAGTCCACCTGCCGACGCAGGGGACACGGGTTCGAGCCCTGGTCTGGGAAGATCCCACATGCCGGGGCGCAACTAGGCCCGTGAGCCACAACTACCGAGCCTGCGCGTCTGGAACCTGTGCTCCGCAATAAGAGAGGCCACGACAGTGAGAGGCCCGCGCACCGCGATGAAGAGTGGCCCCCGCTTGCCACAACTAGAGAAAGCCCTCGCACAGAAACGAAGACCCAACACAGCCAAAAATTTAAAATAAATTAATTAATTAAAAGGAAAAAAAAAAGCCATTGACAGAGCAACTCTAATTCCAATAACGCATCTTAAGGAAATCATTCCATATGTTCACAAAGATTTTTCTATAAGAATGTTTATCACAATCTAGTTTATAATAGTGACTATTGCAAACAACCTAAATACCTAACATGTAGGGATTGGTTAATAAATTATGGCACTAGGGGATACCACATCGCCTTTGAAATGGATACTGTGGAAGGCTATCAAGAGACTAATGACGTATTTATTTGAAAGGGAAAAAACAGGTTATAATACAACATACACACATTGGCCCCGTTTCACACTACACATGAGTCTGTATGTTTGAACACACATGCCCACGAAGAGAAATAATCCTGGAGAGAAGGATTAACCTGTGTTCTCTCTGAGTGGTAGGATTACAGATTTGAATTTTTTCTTCCCCAGGCTTTCCAGAATTTCTCTCATAAATGGTTTTCTAATCAGAAAAACATGTTGTGCTACATTTAAAAAATAATAATATTGTAATAACTTTTTCCTTTTTTTTTTTTGACCTTGCTGCGCAGCATGTGGGATTGCAGTCCCCGACCAGGGATTGAACCTGTGCCCCCTGCAATGGAAGTGCGGGGTCTTAACCCCTGGACTGCCAGGGAAGTCCCCATGCTACTTTTTAAAAGTTCAATCTGCACCAACCAAAATGAGAACTTTTCTCTGGCCCCTTCGGCCGCCAGCATGAGGGCCGATGGCCTCCCCAGCTGATGGGGAGACAGGCAAAAAGCCAGAATCTCGGGGACTGTGGGCCCAACCTCCCCAAGTTCAGCAGAAGACTTACCGGGAGCGCTGGGATGTAAACATGCACGTACTCCTGGGCCAGCCTGCGGGAGAACCAGGGCTCTGAGCGGAGCAGCCTGCGCCCCCGGGTGTGAGGAGAGGCTTCAGCAGGCTTCACCCCTGAGACAAGACCCCCAAGTCAAGTGGAACCTCAGTGGTTGGGGGAGGCTGCCACCACGTGCTAGGAAGGCGCAGGAGGAGGGGCCCAAGGACCCAACCACGGGGTCTCAGGGCTGAGGAACTTGAATTCGGGGTGACGTGTGGTTTGTAAGGCAGAAAAAAGGTTCTATCACATTAAGAAATAACCAAATTCCATGCGCATAATATTAAACAAGCAAGGTGTTCCCAAGAGGGGCCAAATCTAAAATTAATAACAAAGCACGTGATTCATCAGAAGTCGGGCTCAGTCCTGTTTCCACTGTTTGGAATTTGGGGTGGTGCACCCTTCACTTCTTCAAAAAGCATCTCTGAGGCTCCAACCACACGCTGGGACACAAACACAAACACCACGCAAATCCTGTCTTTTCCTCCTCAGTTAAAACTGGCCGTTGGTCTGCCCCCTGCTGGCCACGGCTGGAGCAGCAGGCTGCACGGGAGCAACTCCAAAGCAACCCCGCAACGTCCCAGAGGGGCCGCGCTCGCGACAGCTCGGGGCCCAGAGAAGCGCGGGGCCCGGGGGTGGGCTTCGCCAGGGGTCCCCCCGCCCGGGGTACCTGGACACGGCCGGGTCCTGCCTGCAGAGCAGCAGGATGTGCTGGGTGTTGAGGAAGAGCGCCCAGCAGGGAAAGCAACAGAGCAGCAGAACCAGCGCGCCGCGCTGCAGGATGACTCCCACGTGCTTCCTGTTGGGGCTGCCGAAGCTCTGAAACACAGCGGGTCAGCGCCCACGCCCCGCGCACCTGCCCGCTGCCCCGGGGGCCCTGCCAGGGCTGGGGGGCGGCCGGGCACCGCAGGCTCCCGGCAGGGCGGGGTGGGGCAGCCCTCCATCGCACCCGGGGCGGCCACTGCGGGGGCTCGGCCTGCTCACAGAGGGACAGCAGCAGCTGTTTGCTGAGCCCCAGCCTCCGTCCGCCCGTCGTGCCTGGCTCGCCAACAGCTCCCGATGGGGGAGGCATCGCCCCCCGCCCCCCGGCGCGAGAGCACCTGCCAAGTCTCCCTGGGGGTGAGTGGCAGCCAGGCCCACCGTGAGCCCGGGACCCCCGGAGCTGAGCCCCGCTGGGCTGTGGGCCCCCGAGAGCTGGAGGCCCCGTCCGTGGGCCCTCGCACTCGAGGTCAGGGGACTGTCTTTCCCTCCAGGGCTCTCTCCCCCGGCTGCCCGGGCTCTTTTCAAGGGGAGGGTCTGGTCCCTGCAGCACGTGGCCCTTGGGGGTGGGTGTGCCAGGGACAGCTGCCCCGGCCCAGGGCCTGACGAGCTCCCAGATCCAGGGTACATTACGGGGCCTCAGGTGGGCCCCCAGCCCCACCGTTTCTGCAGCAGCTGAAGGACTGGCTCTGCCCCGCCAGGCTCTCGGAGGCCCACCTACCTGGGACATTAAGGTGTCACAGGCCGAGGACAAGCCAAATCCAATGGAAACTCCGCAGACATTGACGAACTGGAGGCACACACAGGAGAGCGCAGTCCCTCAGGCGGAGCCCGAGGGGGGACCCTGCACCTGGGGGGGTTGCCCAGCAGCCCGTGACCCGTCCTGGCCGGGCCCTGCCCGTGCCACGGGGTGTGCCTTGGGCGAGGCCCTGAGGTCCGGCTGTGCCCTTAGGCTGTCTCTTCTCCCCGGAGCCCGGGGGGAAGGTCCCTGCGGCCCTGGCCGTACTCACGGCCACCGAGAGGGTCACTGCCGCCAGCTCCACCTTGCCCAGGTGTCCGCAGAACACCGAGCTCACGACGTAGGTCATGAAGTTCAGCATCTGGAAGAGGAACTGGAGGACGGAGGCCACGGTCAAGGGCCCCTCAGTCCTACCGACCCCTCACAGCCCAGCCCCACGAGAGAGGCTCTCCAGGCCCTGCGAGGCGGAGCAAAGACCCGCAAAAGCCCCTCGAGGCCACAGGGCAAGTCACCCAGAGCGGGGGAGCGAGCATGCGGCCGAGGCTGCTGCAGCAGGCAGGCTGGGTGATGGGAGGCCCGGGTCCCACCCCATCCCCCGCTGCGCAACTGCGTTAACCCCTGAGCCCCGGTCTCCCCGCCAAGCAGCACCCAGCACGGGGGCTGGAGAGGGTACCGCTGGCGACGCTATCGTCACCAGCTCGTCAGGCCACGCACAGAGGAGCGGGGTTCAAGACACCAAAACCTTAGGAACGGCTCTGTCCAGGGGCTGGGATTAGAAAGAAGTTTTTTCTAACTTTTCGTGTTGACTGAAACTCTTTAGAGCGAGCACATATTTATTAGTCTCTACGGTCAGGAAAAAACGCATCTAAGCCATTTTCCCTTTGGAAATAAAACAGGCAGAGGCTGCCTTTCTCCTGCAGCAGGGGACCTCACTCGCCCTCTCGGCTTTCAGCCCAGCCTTCCCGTGGGTTCCCAAAGAAGGACACGCCTGCCCCTTCTGACGGGGGCGGGAGGAGGGGGGCTGCCCGCTGCTGAGGGGGTCAGGCCCTGCCAGGCTCTGGGCAGCAGCCCCTGGGGCCACCTGGACACGGTCATCATGGGCAGTTTCTGGGCAAGGTCGTGAGCAGCCCCCGCCCGGCCCTCGCGTCATGCCTGGGTGGCGGCCCTCCACCCACCGCCGCCTCCTTACCAGGGGTCCAGAAAGGACAACGAGCGTCCTCGCCTCGGCCCCGAAGCCGACAGGGACCAGCCTGCGGAGGGCAGGGCAGCGGCTCCCTCGGCCCGGGGGGACCACGTCCTGGGGGCCGTCCATTCCGAGCCCGGGCAGCAGCCACGCCACAGGCCAGAGCACCCACGCAGCCAGCCTCGCCCAGCCGGCCGGGGCACCACACAGTCTGGCTAATGAGTAAAGGCTGGGAGGAGGGGCCGTGCCACCCAAGGGACCGGCCCTGCCCCCCGGCCCACGTGCTGCCTGGCCCACTGGCCCCAGACAGGACAGAGCCCTGGGCCCCCAGAGTCACCAGGCTGACCCCTCCCAGGGGTTCAGCAGCAAAGGCCCAGGAGGAACAGGTGTGGGCAGGCCTGGGGGGCCCTGAGGACTCCCAGGCCCAGATGAAGAGAGGCAGACTCGCACTCCCGGGTGGCAGAGCCAGGTTCCGGTGGGCGGGTGAGGTGGAGGGGGCGCCCAGGGCCAGTTCTAACGAGGGGCCAACTGCTCTCTGCCCCCCCAGATGGAGGGCATTCAGTGGACCGGCCTGCAGGGCACACTCATCGTCCAGAGGGCAGGTCCTTGTCTCACAAATGGTGACGGAAACCCACGACTCCTTCCATTTCCCTCTGTGGAAGCTCTCTGTCCCCAGGCTACCCTCGGGATCGCTGCCCGGAGCCTTCTGGGAGCAAGGCAGAGCTGTGGGAATTCCCGACCCGTCCACCAGCGCGGGAACTGCTCCCTCTGGGTTGGGGGCTTCCCAGGCCTCCCAGGTGTTGACTTTCAAACAACCGCTTCCAGCCTTTTCCAGCGAACGCCCCACTCTTGTTGCAGTGACTGCAAGTTCAGCCAGTGCCACGTGCAGCGCCTGCGGGCTCTGCCCCCAGTTCAGTTTTCCAGGATTTCAGCCCAGGGGCGCCGGCACGGAGTCTCCGAGCAGAGCAGCCAGCCAACCAGCCCTGCGCATCATCCCGCACCCGGGTGAGAACTGCGGGGTCGGCGAGCCCCTCTCCACGGCCCACCGCTGTCAGGGGCAGCCGTGCAGACCCCCCACTGGACACGATCAGCAGTTCAGCTCTCGGCAACAGGGCCACGGACCCTGGGACCTCGGGAACCTCTCCCTTCTCAGGTGAGAACTTGTCCCCAAGCCCCTGGCCCAGGGCACAGTGGCCTCCCATCTCCTCCCTCCTGCCAACGTTTGTGTCATTCGTGGTTCCTTAGTGGAAACAGGAGAAACTAACTTGAGATGGTGTGGAGGGAGGGGGGAGAGGGGCCAGTGTTGGCACGTGACCTAGAAGCAAGCTGAGCAGCTAGAATGAGAAAACCTGGGTTTTTAAGGGCAAGCCCACGAGATGACTAAGCTCCAAACACCTCCAGCCCCAGAGGGAGATTCTGGAAGATGGGCAGGGCCAACCTGTGACGGCAACAGAGGGGAAAGGGTGGGAAGGTGGGGGGCTGGGGACCACCTGGAGGGGGCCAGGTTGGCTCCCCCAAAGGATGGGATGCTGAACAGATAAAAAATGGTACCCCCTGTATACCCAAAACTTAAGTGTCTTAGATCAGCCACCACTTACATCACGTGGGCTGCTGGGATCAGCTGGGTACTGCACCTGTGTCTGTGTGTCCGCTGTTGCCCCAAAGCTCGCCTGGGTGGAATGGTCCACCGTGGATGCCTGTGGTCAGTGGGCACTCCGCTGGGGCCCCGTCTTCCTTCACGGGACCTCTCTGGGCAGCCTGGCATCTCATGGTGTGGAGCTGGCCCAACGAGGGAACGTTCCAGGAGTGCAAGAGGAAGCCGCGTCCATGTCAACACCCAGCTGGGAAGTTTCACAGGTCACCTCTGACTGTTGGCCATCGCTAACCGCAGGGCTGGCCCATGCTCACAAGAGGAAGCGGCGTCCACCTCCTGACGGGAGGAGCTGGAGACCCTGCAGCTTCTGGGACCCGCCCCCTCCTCTGTCCCATCTCCATCCTCTCCCCTCCTGTCCCCCTCCCCATGCCACGACCCTGAACGAGGGCAGAGCGGTGAGGGGCTCAGGCCTGCCGAGGACCCTCACAGGGAAGAAGGACCCAAAGCTACCAGGTCCTGGGAATGGTGGGGGTGGTGAGGGGAAGGGGGTGGAGAGTCACTGCAAGCCCCCAACACACACTGGGGTCAGGGAGGCTTGCAACCAAGGAGAGGGAGTCTCCCCTGGAGCTGGTTCCGGTGCCCGGCAGCCTCATTGTGCCACGAGGCACTGGAGCATGCCCCGAAGGGCTCAGTGACTCAGTAAGGAAGCATGTGTGGAACCGGAACAGAAGCCACTGGCCTGGACAAATTGGGTGGCCTAGCAACCTCGGGGGTGTGGGGCGGACCTCGGGCTCCCCTGTTGCCACAGGCCCACTGCAGCAGATGCCAGCACAGAGCCATCCAAGGAGGACGCCGTCTCCGGCCGCAACTCCTGCAGCACCAAGAGGTCAAGTCCCCCTGGGGGTAGGCCTGGCCTGTGGGCCCTGCCTTCAGGTAACTGACAGCCCAGGGACCTGCGAGGCACAGCTGGGGCCGGGCCCCTGCAAACCTTTCCTCACTTGGTTACACTTCACCAGGCCCAAAGGCGTTGCATTTGCCCTTTGGCTGCGCTCAGCCCTGCACCCCCAGGCCAGGGGGCCAATGTTCCTCTCTGACCCCTCCTCCCTGTCCTGTGACTGCCAAACACCCAGCTCTCCACTGGGGAGTGAGGGACTCTGGCCTGGTCCCTCAGCTCCCCATACATCATCAGGGCAAAGGACAGCTGGGCAGGACCAACACCTGCAAAATGCCCAAGGCCACCCCTGAGCCCCCAACCCCCCCAGATCTGGCAAACGCTTCCCTCTCTACCTCCGCCCAGCCCCTGTTTCCTCCATCCCTCACCCCTCCCTCCTCCAGCCAGACTTCACTAGGCACCTTCCCCACAGAAACGCCTGGGCTCAGGCCCTGGTGGGACGTCAAGGTGGGCAAGGGTTGGGGATGGCCAAGCCTCAACAGTGACTGGAGGTCCTCATGGGGGACCTGCCAAGTTCAAGGGCTCCCAAAGCCCAAAAGATGGGGGGGGTGCATTTCCAGCCGGGGAGAAGTTTACAAGAATGAAAATGAATACTATTCAGTGCTAAAAAGAAACGGGCTATCAAGCCATGAAAAGACATGAAGGGCCTTGCTGACCCTGAAGGGACTAACCCTCCAGGGCCAGCCCATTCCCAGAGATACGAACAACTCTGCCTGCAAACAAGAGCAAACAACTCTGCACCTTTCACAGCAAACCAGCCACCATGTCCCTCAGGGTTCTGGGCCACCATCCAGCTGCCTTAATCACCCCAGAGCAGGTACCAGACACCTCGGCACAGTCGTAGGCCTCAGAGCCGGCCGAGGTTATTCAAACGAGCCGATCTGAAGCCCGTTTGCCCTGCCTCAGCTGTTTACTCCCCAGAAAGTACGGGAAAGGCTCTTGCCCGCGTTTCCCCTCCTGACTGACCTTGGTGCTTCCCCCAGTGGCCTGTATGTCATGTCCCCACCTCTTGGGAACTGTGAGTGGTCGTCTCCTGATCTATTGGCCCTGCCATCCCTGAATAATAATAAAACCTACATTTTAAAACAGTCTAGAAAAGGGGGAGGAAAACCTTCGTTACTCAGGCACCCAAAGCCTGTGACACGCAGAGGTCTGGGCAGCCTTCCTGCCCCAGGGGTGCTGCTATGAGGCAGCCTGGGTTGTGTTCTCAGCCCATCCATCCAAAGACACCCTCACGAGGGGAGTGCTGGGCAGGAGGTGGAAGGGGGACCGCAGTGTGTAGCACTGTGGGACGTACGTCCTCCAAAAAAAAAGCATCGTAGGTAGGGGCAGGATCAAGATCGAGGTGATGGAACAAATTAGAAAATGTAGGCTTTGTGTATTGTACTGGTACAGGAAGTCAGATCCACAGTGTATGTGGATCAGTCAGCTCAGCTGTGCTCCCCTGGCTTTCCTTCATGACTACAAAATGGCTGCAGCAGCCCCGAGCATCTCATTCCCTTCCCCTCACCCCCACCTGTGACAACATCCATATTCAAATCTCTGTCTCAGGCCACTTTGGGGAGCAAGATAACTTTCCCAGAAGTTCCCCAACTAACTTCCTCTAGTATCACACACACCCATGCTTAAGCTCATCTCCAGGGGATGGGAATACCAAATTCGGGGTTAAACCAGCGGTTCTCACCCTTGACTGAATTTTAGAATCACCCGGGGGCTTCCCTGCTGGTCCAGTGGTTAAGACTCTGTGCTCCCAATGCAGAGGTCGCGGGTTCAATCCCTGGTCAGGGAACTAAGATCTCGCATGCTGCGTGGCACAGCCAAAAAAAAAAAATCACCTTGGAAGCTTTTTAAAAAAATATCACTACCCAAGTCCCACCACAGATGTTCTACATTAAGGCCCAAGCAGCAACTTCTTTTCCTTTTTTCTTTAACTTCTTATCGAAGTATAACATTCATACAGAACAGTACACATACAAGTGAACAACTCCACGAGTTTCCATAAATTAAATGCACCTGAGTAACCAGCAGCCAGCTCAAGAAACGGATTTTTACTTCACTAGCCTCCTCTAAGGCCCCTGGCGTCGTGTTCAGTCACTATTCCCACCGAGGATAATCACTGTCTTGATTTTTAGCACCAGGGAATTCCAATGCCGGGCATTCATAGACCCACCCAGGTAACTTCCCTGAGGGCCGCTTGGGCTGAGAACCACTGGGCTGACACCTCCGCCCACCTTCCCAGCACACTGCTGCCCTAGCTCACCCCCAACTAATTCCCTTGGCAAAGATGAAGGCCTTGGGAGGCGCCAAGCTCACCATTACTTCTTAGATCAATAGATGCAAGTCCCGAGGCCACCTTTCCTAGGCCTGGCCCATGTGGCAGGGGCCTCCTGAGCCCGGCCTACTGTTGCTTCTCCCCACTGACCCTAGTTGTCCCTGAGATGACCCTTCCAGAAACTGCTGGGGCTGTCAGGGCTCAGTGACCTGCTACTGCTCGCCCCCCCCCCCCCCCCCCCCCCCCCAGCCAACCTCTATCCCGAATCGGAGGGTTTGGAAAGCACCTGGTGGGCTGGGAGAGCCCAGCGCCCAGGAAGGCTTATGCTGGGGGAGCGCACGGTCAGGGTGCAGCTGCTTACCTGCTGGGGGAGCCCTCAGGGACGCCTTAGCCTTGACAGCCGTCAAGCCGTCTCCCCCGCAGATGCCACCCAGGGAGCCACGGTGAGGGCTTGGGCGCCCAGCCGCAGGGAGCCCTCCCCAGCACGAACCCCGAGCTCAGGCCACTGTAGTCAGCAGGCACGGAGCAGCTAGCCTCAAACGAGGGGCTTTACTGAGGTCAAGGCAGGCCGAGCGCGCACATCGCCTCGAGGGCCAGCACGGGATCCACGCCGGAGCGCAAACAGGAAGCCGAGCCGCCTCGTGGGAGCAACCGCCTCAATCTAAAATGAGCCTTAATTCAGACCAGCCTTGCGCGCAGCCTGCGCGGATTACCGAGGCCCCGTGCCCCGAGGGGAAAGCCAATCAGGCGGCAGGCAAGGTAGCACGAGGTGCTCGCGGTGCACCAGGCCCTGCGGACCCCGCCGACCATGCCCGGCGGGGTGGGGATGGGGGGGGGGGGGGGTCCCCATGCCATGTGACCACCTCTCCGCCACAGTTTATTGCCAGCTAAGGCAAGGCTGGGCCAATCAGATTCTCTCCCGGGACTTCGGGGGTGGGCATGGAGCTGGGTCCGAGAGAAGGCGGGGCTGGAGGCGCAGCTCTGCGCAGACTTGGCCAGGCCCCGGCAAGGCTGGAGGGAATCCTGCACTAAACAGGGTGCTGGGGGCCTGGAGCAGTGGAGGCATACATGTGGGAGGAGAGGAGAAGGGCAGCCCCAGTGAGGGGCAGAGATGGGAGACCCTGTGCCCCGCTGGGGAGGGGGCCACCGTTTCATTCATTCATTCATTCATTCATTCGGTTTTTTCAATGTCTTCCATGTCCGGTGCCTTTGTGGCCTGGCTGTCCCTTTTCCTACGAGATGATGCCCCATCGTTCCAGCCTCACGTTTTACTGGAGATGATGTGAGTGGAGGTCGGTTCCTTGCAACCTCCTGACCCCTGCACCTGCCACTCTCTCCCCACCCCAGCCTCCTGTCTTCATAGTGACTGAGCAAACCCCCTGCCTTACTTACTGTCCTTCACGTGGTCTTGCTAGGGAGACAGACCTCCTAGCATGAAGGGTCAAGGAGGCTCCCAGACCACGGAGCAAGCCCCTCCCTGACCCGTCAGATCCTAGCCAGCCTGGGAGGCAAGAGGACACCCCTCCCCCACTTTCTGTCACACCAGCACCCCTTTAAGGAGGCGGTTTGTTGAACCCAACTGTTTGCTCAGGGGAGAGTTAAGGTATATAAACTAGGAGGCCTACAGAAGCAAGTCAGCCCAGAAGCCTGTAAATGCCTCAAGGCCAGGAGGTCAAAGCCTAAGGACAACCAATCACAAACAGCCCACCAAGGGTAGTCAGATTCTTAGAATGGTTGCTAGGGGCTTGAGCAGAAGGTGGAATGGGGAGTTGCTATTTGAGTCAGGTAGAAATTCAGTTTTGCAAGATGAAAACAGTTCTAGAGATGGGTAACAGTCATGTCTGCACAACAATATGAATGTATTTAATACCATTAAACTACACCATGCACAAAAATAAATTCAAAATGGATTAAAGACTTAAATGTAAGAACTGAAACCACAACCAAAAAAAAAGAGACAAAACTTCTTGAAGAAAACGTAGGCAGTAAGCTCTTTGACACTGATCTTAGTAATTTTTTTTGCATATGTCTCCTCAGGCAAGGCAAACAAAACCAAAAATAAACAAACGGGACTACATCAAACTAAAGAGCTTTTCCACAGTGAAGGGAACTATCATCTACTGAATGGGAGACGATATCTGCAAGCAATCTATCTGATAAGGGGTTAATACCCAGCTTATACAAAGAACTCATACCACTCAACATCAAAAACCCAAACAACCTGATTTTTACAGATGGGCAAAGATCTGAATAGACATTTTTGCAAAGAAGACGTACAGATGGCCAAGAGGCACATGAAAAGATGCTCAACGTCACTAATCATCAGGGAAATGAAAATCAAAACCACAATGAGACATCACCTCACACCTGTTAGAATGGCTACTAGCAAAATACAAGTACTGGCAAGGATGAAGAGAAAAGGGAACACTCGTGCACTGTTGGTGGAAACGTAAATTGGTGCAGCCACTATGGAGAACAGTTTGGAGGCTCCTCACAAAGTTAAAAACAGAACTATCACATGATCCAACAATTAACATGTGGGTATTTTTCTGAGGAAAACAAAACCACTAATTCAAAAAGATATGTACACCCCTATGTTCACTGCAGCATTATTTACAATAGCCAAGATATGGAAGCAACCTAAATGCCCAGAGATAAAGAAAATGTGGTGTATATATTTATGAAATGGAATACTGCTCAGCCATAAAAAGAATGAAATCTTGCCATTTGCAACAACATGGATGGACCTAGAGGGCATTATGCTAAGTGAAATCTAAAAAACAAAACAAACAAACATAACAAAACAGAAACAGAGTTATAGATAGAAAACAAACAGGTGGTTGTCAGAGGGGGGGTGGTGAAGGGAGGAAAGAAATAGGTGAGGGAGATGAAGAAGTACACCAGTTGTAAAATCAATGAGTCACGGGTATTAAGTGTACAGTGTGGAGAATACCGTCAATAACTATGTAATATCTTTGCATAGCGACATAGCGTAACTAGACTTACCGTGGTGTTTGAAATGTATAGAAATATCAAATCACTCTTTTGTGCACAGGAACTAACATAATGTTGTAGATTAATTATACTTCAGAAACAAAATAACAAACTCATAGAAAGAGATCAGATTTGTGGTTAACAGAGGCAATGGGTGGGGGGAGGGAGTGGGAAGGTTGAGGGCAGTCGAACTTCCAGTTATAAGGTAAACAACTGTTAGGGATGTAATGTACAACATGATAAAACGAACACTGCTGTATATTATATATGAAAGTGATTAAGAGAGTAAATCCTAAGAGTTCTCATCACAAGGAAAATATTTTTTCCTATTTCTTTAATTTTGTATCTGTATGAGATGATAGATGTTCACTAAACTTACGGTGCTAATCATTTCGTGATGTATGTAACTCAAATCATTATGCTGTACTCGAACAAACAGTGCTGTATGTCAATTAAATCAATAAAACTGGAAGAAAAATAAAATAGAATTACAAAGAAAAAAAAACAAAACAGCCAACCAGAAAGTGAAGGCAATCCAAGTGTCCACTGAGGGATAAACAAAATGTGATCTATTCATTCAACGGACTATTATTCATCCTTAAAAAGGAAGGAAGTCCTGACAGATGCCACACAACACATCAACAGTGTGAACATTGAGGACATCATTCTAAGCGAAACCAGCCAGTCACCAAAAGACACACACTGATGAGGTATCATTTGAGGTCCCTGGAGTCGCCAAATTCATAGAGACAGAAAGTAGAATGGTGGTTGCCAAGGGCTGGGGGAGGGGGAGGGGAGGTTATTGTTTAATGAGTATAGAGTTTCAGTTTTGCAAGATGAAAAGACTTCTGGGGATTGGTTGCATGACAGTGTGAATATACTTAACACCACTGAGCTATATACACTCTGAAATGTTTAAGATGTTTAATTTTAGATTATATGTATTTTACCACAATTGAAAAATTATTTTTTAAGATTTTTTTTTTTTTTAATTTATTTTTGGCTGCATCGGGTCTTAGCTGCGGCACGCGGGATCTTCGTCGCGGCCCACGGGCTTCTCTCTCTAGTTGTGGCGCGCGGGCTCCACAGTGCATGAGCTCTGTAGTTTGCGGCACGTGGGCTCTAGTTGAAACGTGTGAGCTCAGTAGTTGTGGCGCGTGGACTCAGTTGCCCACAGTATGTGGGATCATAGTTCCCTGACCAGGGATCTAACCCACGTCCCCTTCACTGTGAGGTGGATTCTCTACCACTGGACCACCAGGGAAGTCCCTACCACAATTCAAAATTTAAAAAACAAATTTTTTAAAACCACACAGAAAGTACTGACACAAGAAGTAAATGAGCTAACATATATGGAAGTGCCTGGAACATCGTAGGCATTTAATAGACGTTAGAGTCTTTTTTCTTTCTTTCTTCGTTAAACCCTGGTCCTTGATTCCTGAAGTTCTAAGGGTATGCACCAGATGAGACTAACTTATTAGAGGCCCAGAATTTACCTTTAGGTCAATGAACACTGCACAAATCCTTGAGATTCTTTTCTTAAGTAGGTTAAATAATCTGCATAACAGATTTTGTTGCATAACAAATATTTTTGAAGAAGGAGGAGAAAGAGAAGGAGGAGGAGGAGAAAAGGATTCAAGAGAAAAATGAGCGTGGCTCGCGGCATTTTCATCTGTAGAGATTTCCTGCAGAATGTGTGTGGAGTTTAGGAGGGTGTGTAGAGGTGTCTCTCGATTATGTGCTAATTGGACCAGCAGCATTAGACACATCATCACATTTGATCTTGTCCCAACCTTTTCAGGTAGATATGCTTATCTCTAATTTACAAATGAGAGAACCAAAGCTCAGGGAAATACAGAGCTTGCCCAAATAAAGTGGCGGGGCCAGAATATGAGGCTGGGTCTGTGTCATCTCAAAGCACACTTTCTTTCTGCTCCATCCTTGATGGCAAGAGTTTTCCTCCAGCCTGCCAGCTCTTCATGGATGTTACCTTGCACTGCTGTGCTGTGAACCTCAGACAGTTCAGTAAACGAGTTCTGCGATCAACTCGCCATGTCTGCCATGGGCGTTGTGTAGAGGCGACACGGTACGTGTGCTCTGCAACTGCCTCTCCAGCCTGTATCACGCTGAGCACAGGTTTGGAGCAGAAAGAGGAAGAAAACTTTTCTCTGTCTGTCTAGCAACTGTTGGCCTGTTCCCTGAAGAACTCGGTGTTGAAATGCTCCTCCTGCCAGGGTATCTAGTCAGGCTTGGTCTCCTCTCCTCTCTCCCTCTGCCTTCCCGAGAGAGAGGACGGGTCATTACAGTTTCTACCAGCCCCCGACCCTGTAAACACCTACCAGGCAGACAGGCTTCAGTGAACAGAGAGCTGTCGTCTTTATCCAGCAAAACAGCTACGAGCATGAACATTCATTTCCCGGAAGGTCATACGAGTACTCGTGAGCTCACGTCTGGCTCTGGCTCAAAGGAAAGATGTTCTGTGAATGCGGCGCCCTGGCACCAGGCCCGGGCAGCATTCCCCGGGTGGCAAGGCAGTCGTTGGGAAAGCTTGGCACCTGCAGGGTCTCGTTGTCATGTGAGGGAACAGAAGGTGTGAGTTTTCTCCCCATCTTTCGACCTAAAAGCTTGGGTCAAACCAGAGAGGTGAGAACATCTTCTCACCGACCCCCGTCCTCCCTCCCCACCCAGCCCTCTACCCTCCTGCTTTGCTAAAACGCTGCAGCC